GGCTGGAACCCCCGGTCCTTTACATTGCTGCCGGAGCCCTGCTGCTGGAGCCCTGGGGTAGCGGAGGCGGGGCTGGGATTTAAAGGGCCCGGGGTGGTAGCGCGGCGGCTGAGCCCTGGGCCCTTTAAATCATCCCCGGAGCTCCGCCGCCGCTTCTCCAGGGCTCCAGCAGGCTCCAGGGACGATTTAAAGGGCCCAGGGCAGTAGTGGCGGCTGGAGCCCCATCCCCGGAGCCCTGCTGCCAGAGCCCTGGGGAAGCGGTTTCAGGGCTCCGGGGACGATTTAAAGGGCCCAGGGTTCCAGTCACCACTACCGCCCAGGGCCCTTTAAACCACTGCCAGAGCCCCCCCGGCTACTGCTGTTACCCTTGGGAGGGGGAAGGAGGCACTTGCCGGTACAGGGTGGGCCGGGGCTGGCTCTGACCCCAAGCCCCGCCCCTTCTGCCTGAGGCCCTGCCCCTTTCGGGCACGCCTCATCTCAGTCAGTGAATATTTTTATTTAATATGATTTCTCACATTAAATTAAGTGCTTTTGATGATGCTTTGGAGAAATTAACAAATGCTTTTGTAACTTGGCAGTGATTTGTTTAGTAGCATAACTTCCTTATATGATGAAGTAATTTCATTGGCACATTTATTACAAGGAAATACGATCTCATTGATAGGTAAATTATATTTGTCCACATGTTCAACTCTGTAGCACGGAATACTTCATTGCTTCCAAAAACTTCCTGAATAGCATAGTACCACTGTAATTTTTCTGAATTGTCCTTTTAAGTTCTTTTCATTTGCCCTTGTAATAATTATACTTTACAATTACATTGTAGCTATGTAGTTTTTTTATATCATGCCCATCACTGGTATCTGAGCACCTGTAGAATACTTTCCAGCTGTAGATTTCAGATGTCTACAAAGCATTTTTATCCACATTTTATAGATGGAAAAACTGAGGCAGAGAGAGGTTGAAGAAACAAATCAACTTTTTTGTTATAGGCCATTATTCTGGAATCAAGAAAAATTGCAAGTCATGTGGATACTTTCCTGTGCAAGGCCTGAGGGGAGGCAGGGAGGGCATGTGAGTTTATATTTATATTTCACCACTGCTGTGTAGTTCACTTGCCCACTGACAATGCTGTGTCGCTCTAGTGGATTTTGCTTTTTAAATTTATGATTACAGGCCTGATTCTGCATTCTTTGTGCACCTGAATCTTCCATTGGATTCACTAGAAGTTTTGGATACACAAGAGATTGGACTCAAAGGCCATCAATGAATCTCATGACCAAGTGTGTGAGATGGACTGTACCCGCATATTCACCCCTTGCACACTATTTTAATAATCTTTGTGCAAAGAATGCCTTATAAGGTATCATTTGAAAATGCATAATTTTCTGGTCGTTATTGTCCTGGTAAAATAGGTGTGGCAACATGTAAAGTTGTATGGTGTTACTAACACATGTTCCAAGTCTGGGGAGTGGCCAAACCAGTTTATCAGAGACAAAGGGCATGCTGACACCTCAGCCAGGTGTAGACAAGGCTGATGAACCATTACCAGCTAACTGGCCATTCTTTGGCAGGAAAGTGGGCTTGGGTGAAAAATTCCACATTTTAACAAAGAAACAGCATGGGGTTCCTGTCCACACAGACTGCCTGAGACTGCCTGTTGCCAGGCTCTCAGCTGGAGATGCTTCTGAAAGTGGAGAGAGGACTATAAAAAAGAAAGGGGAGGCACCCCTCTCTTTCTGTCCACTGCATCCACGGCACTGACAGGACAAAAGCAGCGGTGTTGGACTCGGGGAGGGGACCCTGATGTAAGAGGTTGGCCAGTAATCTGCTAAAGCATGTGGTGAGAAAACTTTGCTTTGAATTTAACACAGTTGAAGTTAGGCACTAGTTGCATTTTCTCTTTTTTTAACTTGTAACCATTTCTGGCTTTCATGCCTCATTACTTGTACTCATTTAAAATCTCTCTCTGTAGTTAATAAACTTATTTTATTTCAACCCAGTGTGCCTGAATTGATGTGTCTGGGAAAGGCTATTTGGGGTAACTAGACATGTACAGCATTTCTATTAATTAAACAACGGAGTTTATATAAACTTGTATTGGCCAGGAAAGAGCTGGGCAGTACAGGATATACGTTTCTGAAGGAAAATCTAAAAGTGGGAGTGTGTTGGGGGGAGTGTCACGCTGCAGTATAAACAAGGCTAATAAGAGCCAATACATGACTGGCTGCCTGCAGCACACACAGACATAGCTGGGAGGGACTTACATGCTGCAGCATAGGCACGGGAAGTAGGGATGCTGCAGCACCCCCAGATTTTATGCGAGGTGCTGGCTCCTGGCCTCACTCCAGGCTATGGCCAGGGTCCCGGCTGCTGGCCACGCTCACGGCAGCACATGCAGGGGTCCTGGCTGCTGGCCCCGCACGCGGGGTTCTGGTACTGGCCCCGCACCTGCCTCCAGCCTTGGCTCCTAATCCCTGTCCATGTCCCCCCTTCCTGGAGACACGGCCCTACTCTTGGCCTCAGCTGGGAGTGGGGGTGGGGGTGTTGGCACGAGATAAAAAGTTTGGGGATAGTTTTGCTGGGTTTCAGCACCCCCCCACTATAAAAAGCGTTCCAGTGCCACTGTGCAGCAGGCTGTTTATGAGCAGTCTAGACTGGAAGTTACAGCAGCAAAGTAGTGTAAAAGGTAGGCGGACACAGCTACTCACTAGTCTGGATTGTACCCTTGGTGTGTCACTGTCAAGTTCTCAGCCTTTCCTCAGAAAGGAAGCTCACACAGGCTTGATGCTCAATAATGACCTTTTCTGCCAACAGGAAGTTTCAAAGCATGCACCTTAGAAAAAAGGGTGGAAGAGAAAAAACACTGACTCAGGATGACAATTTCCATGTAATCATTTCCACACTGGCCTTTGGATCCAATGCAAATCAGCAAAAGCCTAGCCCTTTGAGCCATTCTTCTCCATGCAAAGCAGTCACTGGACCAGGGGGCATGTCTTGAAACAGTTCTTGTTCCATGAAGCCCAGAGTGGAGATGCAGGTCCCTTCTTAAAGTTAATGGGCCAGATGCTCCAATACAATCCAGCTCCTTTGTGCCTCTCAGGTGGTGCAAAGGAGATGGAGTCTGGCTGTAAGTGGCCAGCTGAGAATTCCCCAGGTAAGAGGGGAATGCCTTGCTGGCATAAAGGTAGCAAAGCAGGCTCCTGCTGGAGATAGCAGGCATGTTGGAGGTGAGGAGGGACCCCTATATCAGTGACTTAAGTTAAAGCAGCCTACCATCCTCTGAGCCAAGAGGTGCTCATCTGCAGAGGAGAATTTGGTCTAGATGATTTTTGCCTCTGCAGATGCTGAAGAGAACAGGCTGATGAACTCTCGAGCGGATGAGACCCTCTTTCCCTCTATGAACTGAGAAGAACCAAAACCTGCTGTGGCTCACAGCTTAGGGAGCCAGAGATGGGGCCATGAGAGAGGGATGGAAGAAGGCAGTGCTCACTTCATTGCTCTCCCTAACCCTGCAGAAGCCCCCGCCATGAAAACTCTGCAGGTACATGGATTCATAGGATGAGGGAGGGTTGGCTGTGCTCCGTAGAATTAGCCTCACTCTAAACCCACCGGACAAGCCAGTGCAAAGTACTGCTGATTGAGTGGCCACTCTTTCATGAGTTTCCCTTTTCTGCTGTGACACCCACCAAGAGACGGGTTCTGTGGGTGCTTAGCTATGCTACTGAGGGGGCCACAGGCATCTGAGGGTTAGGGCAGAATGTAATGTGAATGCACAAGGGCTCCAGACAATCCCATCTCAAGGGGACCGGGTCTGTGTGTTCTGTTGGCTGAACTGTCTGACTCTTCTGTGAGGAGAAAACCAGATCTATACATAGTTGTAAAATTAGTTGCAAGTTTCTAGAAGATGACTAAGGCCCCCAAAATATTAGGAGCATAAAGCTGCTGATAGGCAAACATGGGGTCAAATACCCAATTGGCTTAATGGAGAGCAGGGACTTGAACCAGGTCTTCTGCTTGCTACACAAGAGAACCTAAGCAGTGGGCTATGGGATATTCTAGTGTGTCTTGTTCTCAAGCTATCCTGTTAAAGCTGTTCCATCGTGTATAAATAATTAGCTATGCCTCAGCACCGAGACTGGCCTCTGGGCCTCCTACATCCCTGAACCCCCAGCATACAGAGTCAATGTCATTCTTTTGCACCCTCTATTATTCCCACAAACCCTGGTTTTAAATCCTGGCTGGTCTGGCTTAGCCCTGCAACCTCCTGAAGTAAATCATGTGCCGGATGGGTCGCTATGCACAGGTCTATTGCCTGAGATCTTGAAACACGCATTAAGGAGGCCATGGCACATTTTCCAAAGCAATGCTCTGCTCTGGCATCTTTGGCCAAAATTCCCCAGCCCACCCTGTTGTCCAGAGTGCTGGATGCAGGTAGTACTCTTGTCTGCTGCTTTCTAACCCCACTACAGCACCATTTCAGCAATGAGGCTGCACAACGTATCTAGTTTGTGAAGCCCTTGGGATACAGAGTCATATACAATATTATTATATTTATAAACACATTCTTAGCTGGTCCACAATCAGCATAATTAACTTTGGCCTGGTGGACTTAGGAACAATTCAGGTGGGACCTCTAGGGACTTCATAAGTGAAGGGGGGGACTGGAGAAAATGATGTATTAGGGCTACACCTTCTGACAATTCATGTAGTGGATTTGGTTGGCTCTGGAGCAGGTGTCTCTATTCTTGTGGGAGAGGAAAAATATTTACTATCAGATTTGTAAGGCAGGAAGAGGAACTGAAGATGGTAGAAATGTTGTTCCCAGAAAGAAAGTTAACTGAAGGCTCTTGTCCAGCAGAGATTCACTGCATTAATATCTCTGGAGTTAGGGTCTGAATAAACTTTCCTCCTCACAGCTGCAGATGAGAGATGGATGGATTGGTAGGCTAGCTCTCCTCTAAAAGACAGGACTATAAACCAGTCCAATGACAAACCAAGAACTTGACATTTTTTTAATAAATATACATCTCTCAGGTACCAAAATAATTATAAACAAAATATACAATATATACATGATATACAACCGCTAAAAGTGAAGCAATTATGCCACATATATAGGGAAATACACTGTTTCCAATGCACACAGTTAACATTATTGCTACCTTTCCCATAAAAGCTGAGAGGTCATTCTTTTGTTTCAATTCCTCTCTCTGCATTACAGTACGAAGAACAGCTGAGGTCAGTCATTAGGAGCAATTATAATCAGCCCAACAGAAATCTATGCAAGTTCTTCCAGCGGATGGGATACTCATGTGAACCTGTCCAGCCATGTAGGGGGAAGCAACTCCACAGAAAAACTCACTAGTCATCTCTCAAATGCATTCTTTCACCCAAAATGAATATTCAGGTGGATCCAGTAGTCTGTTGTCCTCATACTGTTCATACATTTTGACAACCAGTTATGGATTAACTGGCACAAATAAACAGAGTTCTACTGATGTTACACATCCAACTCCTGTTAGTAAAAGTATGGGTCGGAATGCGAAACCTGCTGTTATAATGATGTAGTCCATGGTGTGCAGTGTAGTATTTCAACTTTTTTTTCACATTTTATTATTTTTTTAAGAAAATATGTCAGCTTCCTATACATATATATATAGTCATGTCCTTTATGAGAAACCTCTTCTTCAAAACGCCAACTGTTGTCCTCCAATTACACAGTCATCATACATTATCTGGAAGGAAAAAATAATATATATATATAGGTTAATGCAAAGCTGTACAAGTAGCACTCAAGTTCACCTTGGGGAATATCAGGCCAAATTCTGCCTGCCTTGACTTCAACAACACTGCTCACAAGAGTAAGGCAAGCAGGATGTGAAATGATCTCTTTAGTAGTATTCAATAATAAATGATAATATAGATTCTTAAGAGGAAAAAATTTGAAGGTCATGTGGAGAAATATATACTTGAGAAGGAAACAAACCAAAACCTTGCATCACAAAAATGCGGTAGATAAACTAGCTATCTCCAACAGAAGACTATGGAGAGAGAGGCACATACTGTGACACTAGTTTTAGCAACCTTCTTTCCCTTATATATTTATATATGCCATCTGTGTGCTTTTATATTTGAATTTCTAATGCTCATTCAATAAAATCCTGATAACAGAGTGCTAGATTTCATGTTCCTTAAATGAACAAATTTCTCTTTGAAATAATGGGATAACGCTAGAAGAAGGTTTGCTTCATTTACACCTGCAAAAATTGGCCCAGAGTAAGAGGAAAAGCTGTCTAATTTACACTTGGATTTTGTAAGTAAATGTTATAGAATAGCTCTGGGTGTCCAATGCTTGGGTCTTGTACTGTATTCCCAATGCTTGCTATTTAAATTTTTTAGTTTACTTTGAGTTTGTAGGTGAATTATATGTAATACAGTTAATAGGCCATTAAAGCATCAGGAAAAAACGCAACCTAAGAGTTGTGTGCGTGTTTCCCCAACAACTTTAATGGGAGCCATGTAGATGCATATAAGGGAAAAATGTAGTCCTTCCTTATATAAAAGGGTGAAAATAACTACTTACTTCATCCTCTGTGAATTCTGATTCTGATTCACAGCTCTCCTCATCCTCACTTTCTGGTAGCATCTGTAGGTCAGCCGTGGTTAAGTGCTTCAGCTGTTCCTGTATGCTGAAGCTGTCTCTTCCCCACGTGAGCTGGTATGGAGAATAGCCCTGGTAGGTCACTTTGTTCACATCAGCCCCATGTTTTACCAGAAGCGACACCAGTTCTGAATTCTGCAGGTCTACAGCTAAGTGGAGGGCAGTTCTGCCGTTACAAGGCTCCTGGTTAGTAAAAATAAAACAGGCCATTTAATGTCAGGATAGTTAGGCTTGGTACTACCAAAACTGTACATTCCTACTCTAGCACTATCATGTTTGGATAAACAAAGAGCTTCAAATACACACCTGAGCATTGACATCTGCTCCCAAGCACAGCAAATATTCTACTATAGCCAGATACCCATGAATAGATGCCAAATGGAGACATGTGTGCCCTGTAGAACAAGAACATAGGTAAAAATTAAGTACTTCTGCTCTAATGCATTATCAGTCACTTTAGCCTAAATACTCTTCTAACACACTATCATATCTTCAGTTTGAAATACAATCACCATTATCCAAACTGAATATAAATTGTCCTATATGAACTTTATACTGTACATGGATGAACAGATAAATTAAAAGGCATCTTTATTTCTTAGATGCTATGTCTTTTTTTCCCACCCAGTGTTAAACTGGAACTTGTTTTAACAAAAAGAAACAGAAAAATGTAAAAATGTCTACACCAAAAAACCCCCAAATAAATAGCTAAACAGTGCTACCTAAAAAACAGAGGATAAAGTTGAAGAGCGTGAGAGCCTGAGTAAAGCACTGGCAGTTAGGAGGCTGGGACTTATTCAGCTCCAGCACTGACTGCAGTATGATTTCAGGAAAGTCACTTTACTGCTAGGCCTCAACCTCCCCATCTGTAAAATGGGAATGATAATGCTTATCCTCCTTTATAAAGCTCTCTGAGATCTATGTCACAAAAGCACGAGATGCTAAGAATTATATTTATGCATACCATTATAGTTGGCAGACTGTAGGACTGAATATAGGTGGTGCTGCGGGCAGTACTGAGTGAGGATGCCGACAGCTCTGAGAGAGCCCTGCTCACAGGCAATATGAAGTGGTGTATTTCCTCGGAAGTCTCTGATCTCTGGATCACATCCGGCCTTGAGAAGGATCTCAGCAATTTCAACCTGATCTGTGATTACTGCCAGGTGAAGTGGAGTCTACAATAAAAAAAAAGAAAAACAAAACTATTGTAAAGTACATTACAAACAGGAAATACATTAGAGGCAGCATCTGAACACACAGCCCTTCAACCACTTGGTTATTCTAGCTCAACTTCTTAAAAATAACATAAGCATTTGCTTAATATTGTGTGCTCACCAGGAACACTGTATTCAAGAATCAACAGAGTTCCCTTTTAGCCTGGGAGTGACTGATTTAAGGCTCTCTTGATAGCAGAAGGACAATATAAATAAAAGGTATCTTTTGTATGGCAAACAATGGATTAGTGGAACCCACCAGAGTATATTTAAAAGCAATTGTGCTTTAAAATGTCAGTGTCAAGGAGGAGAGTATTGGCTGTACACAAGCACAAGTTTGTCCCCAGGGCAATCTTGTGCCTTTTTTTGAGGGGTGTGTGTGTGTGTGTCATATATGAGTTGATTAAATATCTGTCAATTGTAAACATTTGTTTTAGAAAGTTACTGAAGTCACCAAGGGGGTCGGGGCCGCCTGGCTTATTTGGGCTGGAAGGTGGATGGTTTAAAGTACCTGGTTTAGGTTATTCTGAAAGTTCAGGAAGGCAGGATTGGCAGCTACCTGGCGAATAACCTCCACGCTCCAGGACTTTTCTTCGTGAATAATTGCCAAGTGGAGAAATCTACAAGAGGGAAAAGAAAAAACACAACCCCTCAAAGTCGGTCCGTGAACGAGGAGCGGTGGGGTGGGGGGATCCCATCAGGCCATGGTTCCAGCAGCCAGCCCCGGGCAATGCCCCAGCAGTCACGTGCGCAGGCAGCAGGCGGCTTTCGCAAGCCCGGGGTTTTCAGAGGCCGCTGCCGGGTGTTTTCCGCGGGGTTGTTATGAGCTGAGTGTTCCTGGCAGCGGGCCAGGGACTTTCCACGGCACCTTCCCCCTCCGCCCAGCCGGGCGCCGGCCCCGCCCCGCCCCGCGCCGCCAGCACACTGTGTACTTCCCCCTCCCGGCCGGGCTGGCGGGCGGCCAGCCGCGGACACCAACCTCTACGGCCAAAAGCCCGCAGCCCCGCGCGCCCGCCTGGGTGCACACGGCGGCGAGCAGGGCCGGGCCAGGGTCTCCGCGCAGGGCACACACCGCCCCGGAGGGGGCTGCCCCCCCCACAGCTCCACATGTTCCCCTCGTAACGCCCCGGGCCCGGGGGGGGGGGGTCGTCTCCGTACAACCGGCGCAGGACACACAACTTACGTGTCTCCGTCTTCAGTCACTTGCTGTTGCCAAGGCTGGGCCGGCTGGTGCGTCGCCCCCGGCTCCTCCTGGGGCTGGAGCCTGATGTCCGTCAGCTCCTTCACCAGCAGCTCGTACTCCTCCTCCTTCATGGAGCCCAGCCCGCTGTCGTGCCGGTCGTCCTGCAGCAAGCCGAGCTGCCGCTCCTTCTTCAGCGGCTCGGCGCGGCTCTCCATCGCCAAGTCCCGCCGGCCCCCCGGGCTGCAGCTGGGGTGCAACATGGCTCGGCCTCCGCTAGCACAGGGCGCGCAGCGCAAGATCCCCTTCGGCTCCTTCGCAAGCGACCCACGCCCGCGGCTCAGCGGCGGCAGGCGAGCACCCGTGTGAGAGCGGCGGCGGGCGGCAGCGCGGGATATAAGCCCTCTGCTGAGGGGATTTCTGCAAGGGGCGGAGCCGAGCCGCTGGGAATTTCCAGGCAAGTCAAACGGCAAGAGCCAGCCTGTGCCTGTCTGCGGCGTTACATAAAAGCCCAGGCGGGGCTCGCAGCGGAGGAATCCCCTGACTTGCCCGCCCCACCTTCCCTCCCATTTTTTCAATCACAAGAGGGAAAGTACTTGGTGCAGTACAGCTCTGTGACTAAGCCCCCGCCCCCCAGGTACTTCCCTGGGGAGCCGGCCTTAGGGAGCTTGCCGTCTTTTCCCCACCCTGGGGTTTCCCTTCACCTCTTCTCGTGACCCCGGCCTCACACATCCTCTCTTTGGGGCTAATAATACACCCCGCGCAGCTGGGGGCGGGAGGGGGGTGCAATTACTCCCGCCACTAGGCTGCTCCCCCGCCAGTCCCCCTTCCCTGCTCGCCTCGGGATGGGCTGCACACAAGCCAGGTTCCAACCTGCTGGCATTCATGAAGATCCCGCGGGGATCTGGGTGTGCGCAAGGAGTAGGGTGGTCGTGGCCACATCACAGCTCACATGCTGCTTACCTAAAGGCCCCTGGAGTTGCAGCTGGATACTGTAGCGGTCCTGATGTGGCACTGGTGCAAGGCAGCCGCTGTATTTCACTCCCGTGCTGGGTGGGTCCCCCTCTCTCTCATATGCCCGTTTGCTGTGGTGCAAAGCACTATTTAAATGGAAGACCTAGCATTAATAGTCAATAGCAGTAACACTACATACATCTAAACCCGAGATGAGTTTGGAATATGACAATCTTTTAACTATTCGGAAGCCCTAATTTGCACAACTGTAGCCCATAAACACTTCTTTAAGCGTAAAACCTACTCTGTACCAGTGACTATAGGACTTTCTCCAGCACCCATTGAAATTAATGGTAAATCTCCCATTAACTTTTCCGGGGCAGGATCAGGTTCCCTTTCCAGCCCAGTTGAGACAGTACCTGTCAAAGATTAATTCACTTTTTTCCCCTCCCAAAAATGTAAGTATTTAAATAATTTTCCTCAGGAAAAGTGACTCATTTTGCCAATGGTATGCTGTTTATTGTTACCCATTTTCTAGATATCCCTCTCTGATAATTCCTATTGAGTGCAATGACATCCACTGATAAAGATCAAATGAAAAATTGAAAGCACCTAGACTGATAAAAAACACCTCTAGGTCAATGTGTGGATTCAACAAGCTAAACTAAGATGAATTTTACTTTTTCTCCTCAGACATGGGGGATTTCCCCATGAAGAATTTTTTCCTGCAACTACACTGAGTAATAATGTCTGAGAAATTTTCTTGTCTTCCTCCCCTGGGATGGTGCCGCTGAGAAAAAAAATTATGAGAAAATCCAAAGATAAAGGAAGAGGTAGAGGGGAAAGAGATGGTGCTCATTGGGCAGATGGTCCAAATTTTTTCAGGCTAGCTGCAATATTATTGGACTTTCTTATAAAAAGTAACTATATTAATTGCTAGGCCTGGAAGAACAAAGTAGTGCCTTTTGGAAGGGTCCATAAAAGCTCCACAACTGTTTCTTTCAAAATTTCAGGGTCATGGAATTTTCATGTGTTTGCCCTTTTTGGTTAAATCATTGTCTTTCAAGGGGTGAAGTGTAATTTAATAAATCCATCTCTTTCTCACTAACTGGAAGCCTGTGCTGTACAAACAGCAATGATTTTTTGTTCTTGTCCTTATTGCTATGGCAACCAGAGGAATAAAATATAACAAGAATCCTGCAGCCTGCAACCAGTGCTTTGCTGGAGCCAAACAGAAATTAAACTTCAAAACTTCCCATTCTGGTTTAAATGGGTGGGTTCTCCAGTGCCTTCCATGCTTCCAACACTTGGAGTTGTCAGTAGTAAACACTGAGTTACTTTTAAAAAAATAGGTTTCAGAGTAGCAGCCGTGTTAGTCTGTATCCGCAAAAAGAAAAGGAGTACTTGTGGCACCTTAGAGATTAACAAATTTATTTGAGCATAAGCTTTCATGAGCTACAGCTCACTTCTGTAGGTCATGAAAGTTTATGCTCAAATAAATTTGTTAGTCTCTAAGGTGCCACAAGTCCTCCTTTTCTTCTTAAAAAAATATTCTCCCAACAGAAAGACATTTTCAGATGTATCAGCATTTAGATTTGCCTATTTTAAGTTTTTATGTTAGTATAGTCAAGATTAAAAAGTGTAGGTGGCAGCAGAAGGATGGAAAATGACACCAGGGTCAACCCACTTCCTGACCAATGGGAATGGAAGTGCCAGGCTTTCACAGCCATTTCATGCTTTCATATACACTCTTCAGCAAGCAGCAGTTTAGGTTTTGGAGGCTACAGTACCTCAGAAGCAGAGCATCACATTACTTAATCATAAATAAAGACAAATCATATAAAGTTAGATGTTTTGATCTCCCCAAAAGTGCATGTACAATAGCAAAGCTTCTCTGATAACTTGGTTCATTTGTCTCAGTGGTTTGACAGCTGTTACACAGACTGCCTTTAGCTTTGGTAGCAACCTTAAGACTTGTGTCTGCCAAGCTCGTGAAAGGTGGGTATGATGCAGCAGCCTCTACCTAAAGAGGCAGCTAGTCAATGTCTACAGTGACATCTGCTGGGCGTTTGTGGAATATCATTGCTCAGACCCTAGATAAGTTTCAGAGTAACAGCCGTGTTAGTCTGTATTCGCAAAAAGAAAAGGAGTACTTGTGGCACCTTAGAGACTAACCAATTTATTTGAGCATGAGCTTTCGTGAGCTACAGCTCACTTCATCGGTGCCACAAGTACTCCTTTTCTTTTTACCCTAGATAAGGTTTGTTAAGGCAGAGGAGAGAGGAGTGTGCAGTACATCATATAGCGTGACCCACGATGGTCTTGCATTTAAGTAGTCAGATGGGAAACCAGCCAGGTAGTTGGAATATGGGGAACTTATTTTTTGAGGAGCAGGAAGTGTTCTAACTTGTACATCTACAAGACATATGGACCAGACTAGATGGTTGAAGCATCAGTTACATTTTGCTAGCGAAAAGAAAAGGAGTACTTGTGGCACCTTAGAGACTAACAAATTTATTTGAGCATAAGCTTTCGTGAGCTACAGCTCGCTTCATCGGATGCATGCAGTGGAAAATACAGTGGGGAGATTTATATACACAGAGAACATGAAACAATGGGTGTTACCATACATACTGTAACGAGAGTGATCAGTTAAGGTGAGCTATTACTAGCAGGAGAGCGGGGGGAAAAAACCTTTTGTAGTGATAATCAAGGTGCACCATTTCCAGCAGTTGACAAGAACATCTGAGGAACAGTGGGGGAAGGGGCGGAATAAATATGGGGAAATAGTTTTACTTTGTGTAATGACCCATCCACTCCTAGCCCTGGTCTACACTAGGACTTTAGGTCGAATTTAGCAGCGTTAAATCGATTTAAACCTGCACCCGTCCACACAATGAAGCCCTTTATTTCGACTTAAAGGGCTCTTAAAATCGATTTCCTTACTCCACCCCTGACAAGTGGATTAGCGCTTAAATCGACGTTGCCGGCTCGAATTTGGGGTACTGTGGACACAATTCGATGGTATTGGCCTCCGGGAGCTATCCCAGAGTGCTCCATTATGACCGCTCTGGACAGCACTCTCAACTCAGATGCACTGGCCAGGTAGACAGGAAAAGAACCGCGAACTTTTGAATCTCATTTCCTGTTTGGCCAGCGTGGCAAGCTGCAGGTGACCATGCAGAGCTCATCAGCACAGGTGACCATGATGGAGTCCCAGAATCGCAAAAGAGCTCCAGCATGGACCGAACGGGAGGTACGGGATCTGATCACTGTTTGGGGAGAGGAATCCGTGCTATCAGAACTCCGTTCCAGTTTTCGAAATGCCAAAACCTTTCTGAAAATCTCCCAGGGCATGAAGGACAGAGGCCATAACAGGGACCCGAAGCAGTGCCGCGTGAAACTGAAGGAGCTGAGGCAAGCCTACCAGAAAACCAGAGAGGCGAACAGCCGCTCTGGGTCAGAGCCCCAAACATGCCGCTTCTATGATGAGCTGCATGCCATTTTAGGGGGTTCAGCCACCACTACCCCAGCCGTGTTGTTTGACTCCTTCAATGGAGATGGAGGCAATACGGAAGTAGGTTTTGGGGACGAAGAAGATGATGAGGAGGAGGTTGTAGATAGCTCACAGCAAGCAAGCGGAGAAACCGGTTTTCCCGACAGCCAGGAACTGTTTCTCACCCTAGACCTGGAGCCAGTACCCCCGAACCCACCCAAGGCTGCCTCCTGGACTCAGCAGGCGGAGAAGGGACCTCTGGTGAGTGTACCTTTTAAAATGCTATACATGGTTTAAAAGCAAGCATGTGAAAGGATTACTTTGCCCTGGCATTTGCGGTTCTGCCTTTGCAAAAGGTTTCTGGGGAGGGCAGCCTTATTTCGTCCTTCATGGTAGGACACTTTACCACTCCAGGCCAGTAACACGTACTCGGGAATCACTGTAGAACAAAGCATTGCAGTGTATGTTTGCTGGCATTCAACCAAAATCCGTTCACGCGGTGGGAGGAGGCAAAATGCGACCTTGTAACGAAAGCACATGTGCTATGTATGTAATGTTAACAGCAAGGTTTACCCTGAAAGAGTGTAGCGACTGTTTTATAAAATGTGTCTTTTTAAATACCGCTGTCCCTTTTTTTTTTCTCCACCAGCTGCATGTGTTTCAATGATCACAGGATCTTCTCCTTCCCAGAGGCTAGTGAAGCTTAGAAAGAAAAAAAAAACGCACTCGCGATGAAATGTTCTCCGAGCTCATGCTGTCCTCCCACACTGACAGAGCACAGACGAATGCGTGGAGGCAAATAATGTCAGAGTGCAGGAAAGCACAAAATGACCGGGAGGAGAGGTGGCGGGCTGAAGAGAGTAAGTGGCGGGCTGAAGAGAGTAAGTGGCGGGCTGAAGACAGGGCTGAAGCTCAAAGGTGGCGGCAGCGTGATGAGAGGAGGCAGGATTCAATGCTGAGGCTGCTGCAGGACCA